AAAAAAAAAAAAACAATAAAATAAATAAATAAAAAGAAAGGTTGTTTGCACTTTGCCATATAATAATAACTAGTACGACACCCGTGTACTATATGGGTTGTTTGAAAAAAATATAAAACAATAAATAATAAAAAAAACACCTATTGTCGTATAAAAGTGCAAAAATAGAAAACAAAAATATTCAGGCTCTATATAATTTAACAAATTAATGAAAACCCAAAGTAATATTTTATATTAAATTAAATTATTTTAGTTTAAAAAGATTAATATTTTTTACATATGCTTCCTAATTCAACACCCGTGTATTTACATGGGTATTTGGTTTAAATATTTTTTTTTCAGGCTTGCTGGATTAGTGAAAAGGAAATTGACTGTTGAGATAAATGCAAAACAAAAGACTAAATTTGATCATCTTGTATATCTACAGGGGAAAACAAATCTAACTCTATAAGTATAACCAGTCATACCAAATTAAGGATTTTCTAGAAATTTCTTAAACATAACGCAGAGGATAAAATGCATTGTTGACATAGCCAGAACCAACACAAACAAATTACAATTCAAGGAGAGGCAATAATAATAATTTTTATATATATATATATATATATACTGACAATAATTGATGTAATAAAATAACTCGAATTATAATACCTATAGCTCATATGATAATAATCAGAAGGGGCATACGAAAGATAAGGTGCTGAATTGAAACCACCATGTAACTTTTTTGTCTAAGACACAAATCTCCATTACAACACGATTTTCAGGTGGTTCTTGTCATGTTTGAGCCATAACGCTCAATTGTGTTGAAAACAGTTGTGATGGTAAATTCAATTTTTGTAAGATGAATAATTGAGATGAATGGGCTATGAGAATGAAGGGGTATGGTGATTTAAATAATGTAGAGAACTTTGTCAAACCGATTTCGGATTAAGCAAAATACACGGCATAATAGGATTCTTAACATTTGAAACACTTTATCCTACACGGCTCATATAATAGTAGGATTAAGCAAAATACACGGCATTTCAAATTAATTATACAGGACATAATAGAAATATGCAACAACCTTTAAAGTTCGATTTTTTTTTTTATATATATATTTAAACAGGCGGTGATAGTTTAGATCCGTGTATTACATATGTGAATTTTGGATAAGAATAAGTGATTAAAAAAAACTTTTGAAGGAATTAAAATAAACTATGATAAGAATGAGAATCCTATTTGGACGAGATAAGAATAAGAATCCTATTTGGAGTTGGGATCCTATTTATTTTGGAATATAATTGTATTATTTTTATCCGAATCAAAAGTCGAAACATGTAATGTTGCCAAGTAAGCTTCCGAAGCGTGCGAACCAGCCATTTAGGCTCAGCACGTTTTGAAATTATATTAAGGAGGGATATGTGTTATATTAATTAAATTTTCTACCTTATAATATATAACTACATTAAACATGAATATATTAATTGATAAATAATTTTATTTTCTAATTAATTTTAATAAATAATTCTATTATTATTATAAAGATAAATATAATTTATTTATTTTACAATACGGATGTCAAATCGAAGCTCATCAAAAGATGATTAATTTGATATATTATACATGTAAAACCGATAAGAAATACAAAAGTTATCAACTTTTAAAATATATTTGCAATTCAATGGTAATAATAGTAAATGATATTGAAATACAATTAATACAAATATTAATTTATATCCAAGCCTAACTCCAAAGCATAATTTTTTGTCAAATAGGATTTAAAAGCATGAGAGTTTCACACGTATACGTATTCGGAAATTATACATATAAGAGGGAAAGGGGATAATAATAATAATAAAAAAAGGGCAGTTTGCCGTATGCGAGTGCACACTTAACAGGCTTATTTCGACCCAACCTAAAAAGTAGGCCCAACACATGTAGCCCAAAAGTTCGGAACTAAACGACGTCGTTAGCCGCATAGCCTCACCAAACAAAGTACAAAACCACTCCTCCACCATAAAATTTTCAGTGATCAGTGAGAGAACACAAAAACAGATAACCAAAAATTTGCAATATCTTCCACTTTCCGGCTCAGCCCAAGAAAATGGCTTGCTACGCCGCAACTTCCGTGGCCGCCCTTCTATCTCCCAACCCCAAAGCTTCGGCGGCTGCCAGAAATTCCCTCGCCCCTCGATCTATTTCGCTTGCTTCCTCGTTCTCCGGCGGACACTCCGCCGCCCGCGCAATCCGCTCATTCTCCACCAGCTTGTCCTCCTCCAAACGACGCAGTTTTTTCGTCCGGGCTGTGAGTTTTTCCTGTTGTTGTCGATTATTTTGACCTTTCCCGTCTATGGCAGCATAGTTGTGATGGAAAACTTGCTGAATTGTTTTGTGTGTCAGTGCTGATGTTTGACTTCCATTTCTGGTAATTTGGGTTGTGAATTTTGTTTTTTGTGGGCAATCGATTATATGTGCCAATTTTAATTTGCTTAGGTGTGTGTGTGTGTGTGTGTTACTTCTGCTTGGTTTAGCTTTATGTAGAAGTCAGATTTCCGGGGTGACGATTGCGAAGGTCGGTTTTTTTATTTTTGCTTGAAGTTTGGAACTTGGCGGCACAAGTCATTACCCTGTAGAAAATTTAGTATTCAGTTATTGACGAGATAAAATGATTCAAATTTTACGCTGTTGTTCTTTCTGAATTTGAGTCAACAGAAAGATTTGTGTTTGAGCTTCTCTAGTTTTCCACTCATATGGTGATACTTGTAGCGAAAAAAGCATCATGATAAAGCTACTGGATAAATTATTATTAACTAGAATTTACTAAACGGTTGGATTTTTCCCGATAGCTGATTTCTTGTGTCAACATATTATTAGTGACTTATGTTCTTTCTGTAACTTTATAATATTTTTGACAGAGTGAACTTCCTCTGGTTGGAAATACAGCTCCAGACTTTGAGGCAGAAGCTGTTTTCGATCAAGAATTTATTAAGGTACTTAACAATTGAAATGATGAATGGCAAGCGGCTACATGATGAGTTTAATATATATTTCCATATCATGTCTGTAAATTATCTGTTGAATGTATATCTGGCTGCATTTTATTTTCCAAACACACACACACACACACACCAATGCATGCAAAGAACCTATTGTTTTCATTGACTAAATAAATGGCAAGGTGAATCTCATTGGTCAATGAAGACATGCCGTTCGTTTCATTTTCCATTGTCATGTAACTTAAAAAGGTTCTCTGATGATTGTTTTCTTGACATTGAAGTGCTTTTTTTTCCCCTTCCTCGTCCTTTCCTGCAGGTTAAACTGTCTGAATACACAGGAAAGAAATATGTTATTCTCTTCTTTTACCCATTGGACTTTACCTTTGTTTGCCCCACTGGTGAGCCCTACACTGTTTTCCATGTCTAGTTTTATCTCCATATTATATTTCCACTGATGTCAGCATTTACATATACGTTATTTCTTGTGTAGAGATCACTGCTTTTAGTGACCGATATGAAGAGTTTCAGAAGCTGAACACAGAAGTTCTTGGTGTATCCGTGGACAGTGTGGTAATGCTGTCTGTTACCGTTTAAACCATTTATGTATGTCAATAAAACTATAGATATTTTACTTTTTTTCCAATGTTCAACTGTCTTGGCTGAGCTGTGATTTTCTGTTATCTTGTGAATCCTGGATATCATGATGTTTTTCCTATCTTGTTTTCTACTGGTGATTATTGAATATAACTAAAGAGAAATATTATGTTCTAAAGTGGTGTTGATTATTTGTTCAGGTGAGAGTCTTGCACACGAGTCTGAAATCTGAATAATCCTAAATATTGGTTGACCGAGTATTTGATGATACACATTTTAATTTCCCCACCATTACTGATGTATTGTTGTTGCGTATGCCTTGTAGTTCTCTCACCTTGCATGGGTCCAAACAGACAGAAAGTCTGGGGGTTTGGGTGATTTGAACTATCCATTAATTTCTGACGTGACCAAATCAATCTCTAAATCATACGGCGTGCTGATTCCGGATCAGGTATGTTTTTTAATATTTTATATAATTCGCTAGTTTCTGGGTTCACGATTTATCTGATTAAGTCTGTGTTTAAATTTGTGATATATCCATGCTGTTGAGGATTTTTCTGTGCAAGCGAAAAAATCTGTGTCACATTTAGCCCAAGGAGATCGTTTTCGTAAGAAGAGCAAGGAAAAGGGAAAAATGAACATGGAATGCCGTGAACTAAACACGAATATCAAACGTAGTGAGTTTAAGAAGATTTGTTATCATATCATCATTGTTGGTATTGTTACAGGGGATTGCATTAAGAGGACTATTTATTATCGACAAGGAAGGAGTTATTCAACACTCCACAATCAATAACTTGGCAATTGGTCGTAGCGTAGATGAAACACTCAGAACACTTCAGGTACTCGTTTTTTTTTTTTTTTTTTTTTTTTTTTTTTTTTTTTTTTTTCAGTCAAACACGAATTTGTGGTAATATTTACTCATGAGAACACGAAATGAAAATACAGAATAAAATCTCATGTAATGTTATTCTTTGTGCAGGCTTTGCAATACGTGCAAGAGAACCCGGATGAGGTGTGCCCAGCTGGATGGAAGCCCGGGGACAAGTCCATGAAGCCCGACCCGAAGCTCAGCAAGGAATACTTTTCTGCCATTTAGGCTTTTTGGATTTGGTCAAGGAAGAACCATATTGTTGTTGTTGTAATTTAGATATTTTGACTTTGGGAATTTTATTTTATTTTTTGTTGAAATGTTCCATCTCCTTTTTTGGGTAGATTTGCTTTGGATTGACCTCTGAGAAAATTTGATTGAATAAAGTGCCCAGATTCCATTCTCCAATCTCCACCATTGTTTATTTCTTTGATGAGCCATACGAGATTAGTGAGCAGTTAATAAGTTAATACATCTCTAATGTAGTAGACGCGCTTTTGGACCAGAAGCTCTAAAACATAAATCAAGGTTCGAAGTCTGGCAATATCTATTAAAAGTGTAATTGGTAAGCACAATAAGCTAGCTTAAAAGTTTCTTGTAATGATAGGATGAGTTTTTTTGAAAGAATTGGAGGTTATCTGATAAACTTTTGGTTTGATAAGTTGAACTTTCTGAAAAAGTCGAAGATTTATCTCATAATCATCATTAAGAGCACTGGCAATGCTTTGGGTCTCAAAAATCACATGCCACATCGGAAATAGACTTAGTCTATAAAAAAATATTTTTCAATGCAATTAAAAGTGGACATGGTCTAGCTTATGAGACAATAAAAAAAAAAGAGACCAAGTCCACACTTGGGTCTATTTTGGACCCAAGTACAAACTCAAACACTCATCATTTATTCTTAATTTAATTTTTCTTTTAATAAAGAAAACATATTAGAGCATTTTTATTGGTTGGCATGTATGCTAGACCTAGTATATTTATTTTTGCATTGCAAAGTTTTTGAGTTTTTTTTACTTGAGTTTGTCCATGTCATTTAAGACCCAAGTCCAATTATGCGCCACATATACAAAAAGAGACCCAAAGCATTGTGAGCGCTCTAAGTAGATTTTCAAAAAAGTTCATTTTTTATACTTCAATAGAAAGTTAAGCATAAATTTTATATTTTCACAATTTAAGACACGATTTTTCAATTTTTATAAATTAAACACGAAACGGAAAGTCACATCTGAGTCGAAAAACTCAAAAGTAAAACTAAATTTTGATACAAATACTGTCTCAAATCCTAAACTCAATTGCTATTCACCGCTCCCTTTTACTAGTCACCCCCCCAATTTACTCTTTTGCCCTTAACCCTTTTTCAGACGCTATCTCTCTAAACTTTCTATCTCTCTAAATTCCCGAACTTTCAACGAGCGATTCGAGCATAAGAAAAAATCCGAAAAAATGTCGGAAAAATCCTACGGCCTCGGCAAAGGACTCTTCTCTAGCAAGGTAATTTATTTATTTATTTATTTCTTTTTACGCCAGAAAAATTTTTTAAATTTTTTTTTTTTGAATCTGGCCGACGGACGAACGGCGGCCGTCCGGTCGTCGGTTCCGGACGGCCGAAAAACCGTCCGGAACCGCAGGCCGGTGACGAGCCGGCCGGACAGCTTTTTAATTTTTTTGNAATAATTATAAATTAGTATTAATTATAATAATTTAAAAAAAAATTATAATAACTATTATAAATCTCAACAAATATAATTATAATAATAATGAATAAAATTTATATATTAAAATAAAAATGAATCATAATCTATTTTAATAGTTATTAGAATAGTCAGTACATATGGAAAAATTTAATAATTATATTTCTGATTTAGGGTGTTGGCAGACCTGGACAATCTAATGCCAGGGACGACGACGAGGCGTTCGATGACTATTATGATGGTTCTGGCACCCGACACACTAGAAGTCGGGGTGTCAATGCGTCTGTTCGTCGGGACAGACAGACGTTGATCGATGAGGCTCGGAGGGTACAGACTCTTCAGGCTAGGCAGAGTTCGAGACCCCCTGCACCAGCACGAGATGGTCCGCAGGGATATCATTTTGAGGGTCAGCCAGATAGTTCGCGATCCCATGGAGTCCTCCCGTACGGCGAGCATGAATTTTATTATCCTGGCCAGGCGGGCAGTTCGATGCCCCCGGCACCAGGACCGTACGATCAGCCGGGATATGCTTTTCCCCGCTACGCAGGGAAGTCGATACCCCCCCGCGCACGCGTACCATTACCATATGGTCAGTAGGGGTATGCTGATGAGTCGTACGGCGAGAGGGAGCAGGGTCCAGAGGAGTATGACTCAGACGACTCCTCAGATGATCAGGACCACGCACAGCCTACGGGTCCTAGCCACTCTCGTCCTCCTGTACAGCCTGTTCGTCCGGTACAGCCGGTTCTACAGCATGTTCGTCCGGTACAGGCTGTTTGTCCTACACAGGCTGCTCCTCAACGACAGGCTGGGGGGCGTTTTGACCCATCTGCATCCTCATCAGGTAAATAATTTACGTATTTATTGTTGTTTAACATAAATTATTTTTACTTAATCATAACAAATTATCGGTACTGTTAGAAAAGTATTATCGGTCTGCTCCTCAACTACGGTATAATTATTTTGTAATTTAGATGAACCATACAATTAATTAGTTAGAAAATTATTATAATTATTTTTATTATTGTTATAATCAATTAGTAGTAATGTTACATAATAAATTAGTTTAAAATTTTCATTATATCTTATTAATGTAAAATGTAACATTTGTACATTAATTGAAAAAAAAAAACGGAAAACTTATGAAATATGTTTTATTAAATATATTTTATTTAGTACATCTGCCAGCAAGTCTATATATACAGATATGTTGTATTTTAATGTAGGTACTAGCAAACGAGCTAGGACCGATGATGATGCACTCTGGATCGTTAAAGGCCCAGTGGTCGGTGGGCCCATTGATGGGAGTGTCATCCCTAGCTTTCTAGGGCACGTCGCCTCCCGCATGTGGAGTAGAGATTTGAGGGGGCTGCTGAAATGCCACAACAGACTGAGAGCGGTCGAGAATCTGAAGGCTTGGCGTGAAGAGATGTCTTCCGATGCGAGAGCTCTTCTCGACCAGACCGGGCAGTCACATTTGGCCGACTCCATGCACACCCACTTGGACACCCCACTCCTTTCTGCGTTTGTGGAGCGATGGCAGCCGGATACTAACTCGTTTCACTTGCCTTTTGGTGAAATGAGCATCATGCTCCACGACGTCCGGGCCATTTTGGGCGTTCCTGTGGATGGAGCCGTGGTCGCTGAGGACCCAGATTCGGACGCCTGCCATGGGCTCTGCATGTCGATACTTTCGGTCACCAAGGGCGAACTCATGAGTTCGTCTGGCAGCGTGGTTCGGTGTCCGAAGCCGCCATTTCGGGGGCATTCAGGGGGAAAGGCCGGGCGGCTAGGGATGAGGCGGGTGCCTGGATGTGGGTGATGCTGGCTACCATATTGTTCGTCGACAAGAGTGGTAGTACAGTGACCCCCAAGCTCCTGCACGAGGTGGTCGACGGCTTGGATTTGATTGGGGATCGGCTACGCTGGCATATATGTACAGACAGCTAGGTATTGCCAGCCGAAGGGACTCTTGCCAGATGTCGGGCTGCTTGACTCTTCTGCAGTCTTGGATATATGAGTATTTCCTCGATTTTCAACTCCGGGGGAGTCTACCTATCGGTCCTGACTGTCTCGCACGATCACGTTCGTGGAGCGTAGGGAATGCGCCACGGTCAGACGATCGGCTCACAGCCATCCGTCGGCGCCTCGACAGACTCACTGCCTCCGATGTACGTGAAGTTATTTTATTTAAATTTAGTTACCTGTTATTAAAAATAGTATAATTATTTTTATAAATGCTTTTATGCAATTGTGAACAGGTGCAATGGTTGCCATACGGCAACTCCAGCCCAGATGCGATAGAGCCGAGGACTTTTTATAGCGGATTGATTCGATACCGCGATGTCGTCGAGCCGTACTTGCCTGCACCGTGTCTGCGTCAGTTGGGGTATGTCCAGACTGTCCCTCCCCCTACATACCCGCCAATCAGTGCAGTACGTGCTTGAGAGTCTAGGAACTACAGGGTTGAGCATTCTGAGGCTGCTGCAGTAGGTGCCTGGACCAGTTCCCGATTTCTGGGACGGTCAACACCGATATGTTGACCCCCACCACACAGGATCGCGGGAAGGTGACTGAGGATTACCTGCAGTGGTACAGTCGGGTTTCCCATCCGACTCTCATGGGCGAGGAGCTGCCGGACGAGAACGAGGTCCCTACGCGTGTCAATACCGCCTATGTAAGTTGGTTACTAAATTTTAATTAATGTTATTTCATTACAATAATTATTTTTTAATAAATTTTAGTCTTATCTTTTTATTCTTCCATTTTTTTAGTGGGTGAACCGTCTTTTGGGCATTACATCGATTTGGCAGCAGGGATGCGAATGTCCGGTAGCGGCGGAAGTCGAAGAAGAACTGGCTAAGTTTAAGTTGGATTACGACAATGCCCAATAATGATGTAATGATGTTTTTTTTTTTAATTATTATTGTAAAACATTAAGTTGAATGATTTTTTTTTTCATTTATTAATTGTAAAACATTAAGTTGAATGGTTTATATTAAAACATTAAGTTGAATGGCTCTGACTCAGGAGAACGAGCTTGTCTCGAGCGCAGGAACATACGTTCGTGTTACAGGGCAATCGAAATCGCATTAATGGTACTTTTTTTTTTTCATTTTTAGTACATTAATCATTCAAATTAATGTTTTTTTTTTTTTGCTAAACTTAAGTTGAACTGATTCATTTATTTTTTTTATTTGCTAAACTTAAGTTGAATGAGAAGCGTCATACCACAAGTGAATAATATCGTTCTTTTATTCAAGAAGGATTTGTTTGAACAATATACCACAATCGCAACCTAGCCTCGTACTGATCCTCCCAACCCACAACCGATTGATCTCGGTTATCAAACCACATGGAATGAATAGGCGGTAATGGACAATCAGGAGTCAAATCTAAACGAATGTAGTGTGCTACGGTACCAAGATGGCACATGGCAATCTCACGACATGGTCCTCTAGCCGATGATCGTGCAATGAGAGGCAACACTGTGGTGCTGAATAAGTCGTGCTGCCCACCTTGTGGACCAGAGCTCAACAGAACGACAACCGCATTAAATAGGGTCGCAACGGCGTAGAGGTCCTGCGGAACTTCGAACCAGTGAGCCCGTCCACAAGGGCCGTTGGCCCACCTTACGCGACGGAGTCCAGCGTCGATATCTCTAAAATAGATGTACTCGTACAATTCACGGTGGCTGTCGACCTCATTCGCAATGCTTTCTCTTGCATCTGCCCAGT